AGCTGCCTGGCCACCAGCTGCCTGGCCCAGGCCTGCTCTTGGATCTCTGTCCCCAGGGCTCCCAGGCAGCCTTGAGCGGGATCCTGCTCTCTGCTCACGTCCCAAGAGCTTGCCATGGAGTGTGGTGATGGCCAGGTGGCTGTCACCACGCTGGCCAGGCTGCCTTCTGTCTTGGATTTGGTGCACTTACTGCGCATTTGCTGCATGAGTGCCAGGTACCCTCTCTGCTTGGCTGCAGGAAGCCAGGCCTGGGGGCGCTGACTCTGTTGATCTCTCCTCTTGTGGACCTGTCCAGTCCTCTCTCTCCACCCTGCCTTGCTGGCCTTCTCCGTGGCCTTGCCCAGCTCTGCCCTCTTGTCTCTCTGACTGTTCCATACTCAGGGCTTTGGGATCACTGAGAGCCACTTGGGTTCACACCCCATCCCAGCGCTGCTGTTCCTGAACCCCCGTGGGTCTCCCCTGGAGCTGTGGTAGCCAGGCAGTAAGACCGCTTGCACTGGGCCCTGGGTGTGTGCCGGGCAAGTGACCGTGGTGATCTGGAGCACCGACTGCATCACCTCCCACTCCTCCTCTGCGGCAGAGTGGCCACCGGCCGTCTTCAGAGCCAGGCCCTCAACACCTCCCTCAGCAGCCTCCGGTGCTGCGTCTCCAGCTCCGCAAGTCGCACTTCCCAGCCCTGCGGCCCTGTCGCCTCTCCCACCTGGAGTTGTCCTTGTTCCCCCGACCTGTGGCCTGACTCAGTTTTGAGGCCCCATCCAGGGCCCCTGCCCTCACAGCCCGTCCTGGGCCCTGGGGCAGGCACTCGGCCTGCATCTGATTGCACTTGATTCTGCATCCGTTGCAGACCCTCTCTAGTTTCCGTTCAGTTCCCCAGTGGACCTGATATGGGCTTTGCACACAGCAGCTGCTCAACCCATGAGCTCTGGAGGACGAGGGCCACCTGTGCCTCCTGCTGTTGCCTGTGCTGCGGCTGGCAGAGCAGGACTGCGGGCAGCCACGCGTGCCACTGTCCCCTGGTGGACACTGCTAATTCATCTCAGCACTCCTCCTTGCTGAGTTTGGCTGTGGCCTCAGAATCCTTCCCAGGGTAGTGCTCCTGGCTGTCATAGCCCATCCATCCCTGGTGACAAGTGACAACCCTGAATCTGTACTGTGGGAAAAACATGCTAATGCCTTTAAATGAATGTTTTATGTGTTGATTGATTTTTAAAAGTTCAGATGAAAGGGGGCTTTCCTTCCTTAAATGACCTTAGGCAAGATAAGAGCCCGAGATGTTCTCTTGGGAGGTCCTGAGTGGGTGAGGGCACTTGACTCAGGAGGTGTGTGTGCCCACTGTGGAGTCTGCTAACGTTCCTGACAAGAACAGAGATGGGTGCCAGGAAATGTGGCGGGAGAAGCCCATGTCCACTGGAGGGAACATGTAGGCAGCAGGTGTCAAGCTGTGATAGACACGTGGAGCAAACCGGAGCAAACTGGTTAACAGAGGGAGCTCCCAGGGAGGAATGGACAGGGAGGGTGACAAAGCAGTTTCCATTGTCTCACTGAGGATGGACAGGACAGACTTCTTTGCAGTCTTAGAGCACTGTTTCTGGAAGCTTCTGGAAACAACTGGAAAGCTCCCTCCCGACACCTTTGGTAAGCTGAGCTGTCACCCGGTCTGTGTGATAGCCAGGTGACAGGTGCCGTGGTCTCCACATGACAGGTAAGTGAAAGCAGGCGAGGAGATGGGCTCTGGCCATGCTGCTGGTATCTGCAAGAGCCAGAATCTGAGCCGGTCTGGTTCTGCAGCTCTTTCCTCCCCAGGCTCACATGGCCATGTCCAAAACGCTGTGTCATCCTGCTCTCCTCTGGCGCCGAGAGTCCTGGAGAGACTGAGTGCCGCTACAGGTTTGCTGAGCTGGGTTCGCAGCCTGTCCCTGGCTTGCTCAGTCCTTGCCCAGCTGCCTCACTGCTCAGGACGCCCTGAATCGGCCCTGGACTTGTAGGGCTCTGTGCCTCCGCTCACTACGGGGTTACCCCGGCTGGTAGCACATCAGCCGTCCTCTGCATGTTGCTGCCTTACCCCGCTGTCCAAACCTCTGCGGCTCTCTGGGGATGCTCTGTAGAGCTGAGTTCCTCTCTCTGAACCGCGACACTGGGTTCCAGGCCCTCTGACACCCCACCCTGGATGGGAGCAGCTTGTTTAGCCCTGGCTTCCCCTGCAGCCTGCTGGGCCCAGGGGCCAGGCCCGAGGCACAGTCATCAAGCCTGGGGGGCTGGGGCTGGGACCTCAGCCAGGGAAGGGAATTCGGCAGATCAGGCCGCTCCTCGGGTGGGTCCGGGTCCCTGCGAGTTAGCCTGGGGACTTTGCTGTCTTAACTTATTTGGGAAATCTTGGACTGTCACAGAATAAAATCTGTGACTGACATCCTCTTGTGGTCCTTGACACTTGTCACTCAAGGGGAGAGAGAAACTAAATTGGCCCTGCGAGACTGGCTCTTCACAGTGCCCTGTTGACGGCCGTCACCACAGCGTGGCCCTCGTGAGTGTCCAATTTCTTCCCAGGCCCTGGGTGGTAGGGGCCAGGGGATGCAGACCAAGATGCCATTTTTCCTTTTTAAAAATGTCAGTGTTATGGTTTGCGTTTTCTAACCGCTGGCTGGCTCCCAGGGCTCAGTATTCTGCCCTGAGGCTGGCTGTGCTGCACCTGTCAGTGGCCTGGGATCCGTGTTTATTCCTGCTGGGCTGGGGACAGCCTCCCCCTGCTTCCCTGGACAAGTGTCTTGTCCACTGATCAAAAGCTGGCACTCTCTGGAGGCTGATTCTGTTTCTACAGAGTGGGTTTTGAGCATCACAGGTTATTTCCGATGGGCACATTTGACTGGACGTCACACTCATTGTTATGTGTGCTTAGCAATTTAAGATGAGTTTTGAAAGAAAAAAACCCAGTTCAGTCTATTTGGTGACATCTCATGTGATTAATTAGCGCTCTGCAGTGCACCGTGAAACTTGCAAGGTACGACATCAATGCCAGAATTGTGTTTTTTTCTGTTTGAAACTATATTAGTTGAATATCTGTGCCACGGGAATGCACTCGGACTTGAGAGTTGGGCATATTTTATTGGCTCACCTTGTTAAGCAAAGGAAAACAATCCTTGCCACTTTATAAAGTGCCTGTAAGTTCTAGGAGGTAGCATTTTGGGAGTGAATTATGTTGAATAATTGAAGGTGGATGTCAGGCATTTAATTGGGCCTTTTCTCCCAGCCTGCTGTATCCGTTTTGGAGGCATTGTCAGAGGTGATATCACTCACGGCTGATAGGAAACTGACATGGCGGTCGGATACTGTTGGTCTTTGGAGAGTCTCGCTGCGCAGAGAGCTAAGGCTCATACCCAGTCCAGGCCGCTGTAGCTTGGTCTTTACCCTTCACAGCTAACTCCTTAGCAGAGAGAAAATGGGGGTGGGGCTATGGCAACTCACCCCAACTGGCCCACAAAACTTGTGTCCACGTTTTGGGCCTCATGTCAGATGTTCAAGTGACTCTGGTCCTGTGCTCCATGTTAATTTTCCACTGCAGATCTTCACCGAGGAAGGTTGGCCTGGGAAGATGTGTCTTTTAACACTGTGGCTTCCACAATCTTCCGAACGCTTTGGTATAGGGGCAGGCATTTGGCCTAGTGGTTAAAACTCATAGTGGAGTACCTGGGTTCAAGTCCCAGCTCTGCTCCTGGTTCCAGCTTCTTGCTAACACACACCCTGGGAGACAGCAGTGAGACTCAAGTGTTTGAGTCCTTCCCACCCTCGTGGGAGACTTGTTTTTGAATTCTGACTCATGAATTCAGCCCAGCCCAGCCCTGGCTGTTGTAGGCATTTGGGGAGAGAACCAACAGATGGGAGATATCTCTCTGTCTCTCTCTGCCTTTCAAATGCATTAATTTAAAAATGAGAGATGTAAGTGTAACAATGATGATAAAAGGAGTATACAAAATACTAGAAAGCAACCCAAATCACTTTGGTGTACAAAATGCAATTCCTAAGCAAAGGATGACCATGGTGGGGTTTGACTGTAGAAGGGGCACTCAGTAGGGGTGGACTGGCAGGGACACTGGGTGGCCAGTGAAGGGCTGCCTCAGTCATCAGAGGAGATGCTGGTGACCTGGCCATAGCTGGCATCTGGGGCTGCAGAGCAGGGACTGGTCCCATCACATCACAAGGCAGCAAGAGAAACTGAGGGGATGTGGGGAGTGCTGGGCAGGGGAACACACTCAGGGTCAGTGGACACTGAGTTCCTGTCGAGAGCCAGCCGGTGCCATGTCTCATACTCCAGTGCCAAGGTGATACTTTTTTTTTTAAAGAGAGAGAATCTTCCATCCGCTGCTTTATTCCCCAAATGGCCTTAGCTGGGCTGATCCAAAGCCAGGAGCCAGGAGCTCCTTTCAGGTCTCCCACATGGGTGCAGAGGCCCAAGCACTTGAGCCATCTTCTACTGCTTTTCCAGGTGCACTAGCAGGGAGCTGGATAGGACGTGGAGCAGCCGGGACTTGAACCGATGCCTTTACAGGATGCCGGCACCACAGGCGGTGGCTTTACCTGCTATGCCACAGCATGGGCCCTGCAGTGATGTTTCTTGCATAGGTTTCAGGGCTCATTCCGTGTCCTGAGCCAGGGTTGGAGTGTGCTGAATTTGGGGGGTTCTGAACTGTGACACATGATTGGACTCTGAGAAATGTTTGTAACATGAAAACACTCTAATTTTTACCCACTGCATTTGCCAGTGCCGGTGTGCATCCTGTTTGGCACAACAACATTGGGATAGATACGGTGACAATAGCCACCTAGGATGTCCCCTGACGGGGAGAGTAGCCCCTCTCTGTCCTGGCCAGCGCTCTCAGAAAACTCCAGCTCTGTGACTACTGCCTGCTGGTCCCCTCCAGGTCCTGTCCATGGCTCCTGCTGCAGAAATTGCCCCCGGCAGCTAGTTGGCCGCATGCACCTAACGGTGATCCCCGCTTCCTCTGCAGTGGTGGCTGTTTATGTGAAGGAGTCCTGGTGGTGCACGGAAGACGTTCTGAGGACCTCTGATCCCGCGAGAGAAGGTCTGATGGAGGTGAGGTGATGCGGGGTTGGTTGGGCACCACAAACAAGATGACACCTCCCTGTGCTCACCGCTGTGTTACCAAGTGGATACAGTGCACCTGGTGCACACCTGGGCATCCCAGGAGTCACCAGCCAGGCAGCTTAAACAGATGGTTGCTGTTCCACAGTTCTGCAGACTGGAGGGGGGAGAGACAGGGAGAGAAGGAGATCTTCCATCTGCTGTTTCATTCCCTCAGTGGCTGCAACAACCAGGGCTGGGCCATGTTGAAGTCACGAGCCTAGGACTCCATCTGGGTCTCCAACGTGAGCGCAGGGGCCCAAGCACCTGGGCCATCATCCACTGCTTTCCCGCGTGCATTAGCAGGGAGGCAGATTGGAAGCCGAGCAGTGGAGACTTGAACTGACTGCTCTGATATGGGATGTCAGCGTTGCAGGTGACTGCTGGACCTGCTGTGCCCCTGGGTTGCTTTATTTTGAGGACCGATGGCTGCTGGAAGCCTCCAGGGCTCCCAGGTTTGTAGACAGAGTTCTGCTTGTGGCTTCACACTGTAGTTTCTTCTGTGCATTCTGTGGCTGTTGGAATTGTCCCCTTCTGTAGTGGACACCAGTCCCAGTGGATTAGGGTTCCTCTTGGCTTGATCACCTACAAAGTCCCCATTTCCAATTAAGATCCCGTTCAGAGATCCTGCAGGTTAGGACCTCAGCTGCTTCTTGGAGGACACAAAACTCAGTCCTTAACTCTGCACCAGCAAGGAAGCGAGTAACAAACGGCCACATTCAGCAGGCAGACCTGGCTGTCGCTAAGTCTCATTCACCTAGCTGAATGCTGCCTGCCCTGAATCTGACAGCCTCAGTCTGCGCGGTCTCTGCTGTGAGAGGAAGTTCTGCTTGGTGCCTGCAGATGGCATCACCCTGACCGTGAGCTGGAACTGTATCAGATTCTGTTTGGTGCCCCATCTCAGGTGCAGTGCAGCAACCCTCCCATTTCATGATCTTTACCACATCTATTCTGCAAGTGAAGAAATCTGGGTTGGGGTATGGGGGAGAATGAAGGCAGGTGCCCCAGCAGGTGCACCCCAACCCCTCAGAGCCCAGGCAGATCCTCTTGGCTGAGGCAGAGGCTAAGGAGGAAGGTGATTCAGGAGCAAGAGTTGGGACCATGCACCCCACATCTGCCATTGTTGTTTGGTTGGTGAGTTAATGCATGGGGGGACAGAAGCCAGAAGTCACTTGCACTCTTGAAGTGATGGCTTTGTGGGCCGTGGCCCGGAATACTCCTTGGTGTTCTTCACAGAATCCTGTAAATACTCAAGGTAATCTCAGTATTGGTTCAGGTTCCAATAGAATAAGGCAACACAATTTTTGTTTTCCATTTCCTGCTGAACAATTAAAAAAACTCAGTTCTGAATTATATTTTTTTCTTTTCTTTTTTTTTTTTTTTTTTTTTTTTTCGACAGGCAGAGTGGACAGTGAGAGAGAGATAGAGAGAGAGGAGAAAGGTCTTCCCTTTTTTTTTTTCCGTTGGTTCACTCACTAATGGCTGCTGTGGCCGGCGCGCTGCGGCTGGCATACCGTGCTGATCCGAAGCCAGGAGCCAGGTGCTTCTCCTGGTCTCCCATGCGGGTGCAGGGCTCAAGCACTTGGGCCATCCTCCACTGCACTCCCTGGCCACAGCAGAGAGCTGGCCTGGAAGAGGGGCAACCGGTACAGAATCCGGTGCCCCAACCGGGACTAGAGCCCTGTGTGCTGGCACCACAGGCGGAGGATTAGCCTATTGAGCCACGGCGCTGGCCTTGAATTATATTTTAACCCACAGTTTAATCAAGATGTAACTCCACAAATTTCACTCTCTTAAAAGTACAATTTGGTGACTTTCATTGTACTGTATATTGATCACTGCCAATCCCAGAACATTTTCATTATTCTGAAAAGAAACCTTGCACACACTAGCAGTCACCCCTCATCCCCCACCTTGCCCAACCGCGGGAACCACTTAGCTACGTTCTGCCCCTGGGAATTTGCCTGTTCCACACTTTCATACAGGTGGAATCGCACAATCACACAACTCGCGTTCCTTGGGTCTAGCTTTTCTCTCAGCAGTTTTCCCAGGGTTCGTGCACGGTGTAACAACACATCAGAACCGAGTTCCTTGATGGTGCACTGCAGGGATAGACTGCAGCCTGTGTACTTGTTCACCAGTTGATGACATTGCCTTTTCCTCCACGTTTTGGCTATTGCGGATAATACCGTGAGCATCTCTGTATGAGACTTCGGGGACCATGTATTTCCACTTTTCTTGGACACGCACCTAGAAGAGGAATTGCTCGTCATATGCTAACTCTATATTTAATGTTTTGAGCAACTGCCAGATCATCTTCGACAGCAGCTGCACCATTTCACACGTTCACCAGCAGTGTCTGAGGCTTCAGTCTCTGCATAGCCTCACCAGCACTTGTTATTGTCTTTTTCATGTGATCCATCCTAGGAGGCGTGAAGTGGTGTCTCACTGAGGTTTTGATTTGCATCTCTCATGGCTAAGGATATCGAGTGTCTTTTGGTGTGTGCTCGTTGGCCATTTGTATATCCTCTTTGGGAAGATGTTTATTCAGATCTTTGATCTACTTTTTGTTTTTTATTATTTTTAAGAAAAATGTATTTATTTATTTGAAAGGCAGAATTACAGAGAGAGAGAGGGCCAGAGACAGATCTTCCATCCATTAGTTCACTCCCCAGAATGCCACAACGGCCAGGGGCTGGACCAGGCCAAAGCCAGGAGCCCAGAGCTCCATCCTGGTCCATGTTGGTCTCCCATGTGGGTGCAAAGGCCCATCTTCTACTGCCTTCCCAGGCAATCTAGCAGGGAGCTAGATTGGAAGTGCAGCAGCTGGGATTTGAACCAGCACTTAAATGGGATGCAGACATTGCAGGCGGCGGCTTAACCCTCTGTGCCACAACGCTGGCCTCTTTGACCCACTTTTTTACTTTTTTGCTCACATATGTGATTTTCATTTTTTCCCATTCTATTTTTTTTTTTTTTTGGGCTGGTTTCAGTGGACGGGAAAGATGTTACTTGGAAGACGTTTTTCCTCTAGTAACCAATGATGGCTTGGAATTTGGCAGAGGAACTTGAGTGCCCAGAGTGGTGTTGGAGCACCTGTCTGTTGCTCTCCGGCTCCTTTGCCAGGTGGCTCCTTGGTGATGGCTGTTCTGAAAACTGGCAAGGAGCTGACTTGTTCATAGTAATTTTTCAGAACAAGAGCAGCTGTTTCCTTCATTTCTCATCTTTCCTAAGTTTAGATGAGGCTTTGTCCTCCCCCGATTTTCTGAAAATGTGGCCCGTGTTGTGAGTGGAAAGAAACCTGGACATTAATTCCACCTAATGAACCCGGTGGTGCAGATCTATCCCAGCCCAGCTGTCCCTGTGGATAGTTCCCCCTTTTGTACAGCTCTGGGTCTTGACATTTTTTTCTCTTTTAATTGCATTTTGTTTCTTTGCCAGGTCTTCTTCACAAATTACCCAAAAAAGCTTTCTTAATGTTCTTTTTGTTAACATAATTAGTGGCCCTAATGAGGGATTAGAACTGGATCTCGGTTTTGTTTTCAGAAACATTTCTAAGTCAAAATCACATGTGTCACGTTTTTTCACTCTGTAATAAAACTGGACAAATTAAGTGGGTTTTCCTTTCTCCTTTTTCTCCTGCCAGTTTTTGACTGGATGCTTCCCTCCTCCCAGACGCACTCTGCTTTCCTCTTCTGGCTTCTCTCTGAACGTCTTGGTCTTATAAGTTGAAAAATACAACTTCCCACATCACACCAATGAGGGTTTTGCCACTTGCTAGTTATTCTTACAGTCTGAACGTGATTTGGCTGCCACTGTCTGAGAATATAATGTGGTGGCTTCTGAGAGCTGAGCTGGGGTGGTTTTCATAAATCTTTTCCTCATCTAAGACTTGGCTCCAGATAAAGGTGAAATATTTCACATTCTGGGCCAATTAATAAGTTTATCAGAACTGAACACTTTGTGCTGCTTGCTAGGGTGCTGCAGGCTGCCTTCTTTTTATTACCAGAGCTTGAAAAACACACCAGTGCTCTAGCGACCCCTCGAGTGAGCTTCTCTCACGACCAGCGAGGGAGACTGAGACCCAGAGAGGTTGTAAATGACTGAGGACCTCCCGGCAAATCCAGGCTGCAACTCCATAACCACGGACAATGCCAATGATAATTTCAGTGTCAAATATTAAATATAAATTATATACAAAACCAAGCATTCATATTTGTATTAAACTTCCCCTTTACCTAAGTCTCCATTCTAAAGGTCAGACATGCAGAAGGGGCTCCGTGGCTGGGCTGAAGCAGGTGCCCTGGCCTAGGAAGGCCTGCCTCTGACAGCCCTTGCTCAGGCCTCTCAGGTCTTCTCTGGAATGAGGCAGGAAAATCAATCCATGTAATCACTCAGCCTCTTTGTGCTTCAATTTCTTCACCTCTAATCAGGACCTTCCAGCAGGTGGGGACAATCAAAGGGCAGCCGGTGGGTGGAAGCCACAGCCCAGTCAATGGTGTGGCTGACCTGGTGGTGGTGGGTGCTACGGGGTCTCATTGACACGCACATAGGGTAAAGTCCAATACAACGATACTGTCGGTTGGCAAACAGCTGATGGCTTGCATCTCACATGCCACATATTAGCAGTCGCCGCGGCCATCTGGAGGGCTGCATTTAGGAGATTCTGAGCGCATGCGCAGGCTCAGCCCCGTAGCTCGCTCTGCTCTCAGTGCTGTGGGGAGGGAGGGACTGCGATGTCAGCCACACCAAGGGGTTTTAGCAGACGGGACACGCTGTCGTTTTGACTTGTGAAGGACTGGGTCTGACTCCGGGTGGACCTGACTTGTGCCGACCGCTGTGCGCAGCCTTAGAGCCGAGTGGGCCTCGAGCCCTACGAGTTTCCTGGGGTGGGGGCTCCAGTGTGTGTTCAGGATCTGTCGTGAGCCGTCGGCTGCCTGTCGATTTGGTGCTGGCACCGGTGCTCCCGGTTATCCCCCTCCTCCTCCGGAGGGTCGGGGTTCTGGAGCGCGCCCTCCAGTTGTAGAAAACGGGGTTATCTCAGGACTCGCGCATGGAGTTTGCGGGGCGGGCCGCCATGGCCCCTCTGAGGTCACTTCCTGCTTCACGAGCAAGCGGTTGGTTGCGCTCTGTTGATCCTTGTTCCGTGCGGGTGGCCCGGGGAGCTCCTCTGGCCTCGTCCTTCGCTCCTGGAGGCCACACTGTGCGAAAGGCCAGTGGCGTGCAGGCCTCTGTGAGACGCCATGATCCCCATCCTGGCCCCTGGGCCGAAGGGGATGCCGGGACGGCGACGCCATGTCCGCCCGGCGTGCGGGCGGGCGGGCGGTCCCGGCGGAGGCCCCGCGCCCGAATATCCCCTCTGGTCTCACTTGGCGGTTGTCTTCCTCTTTTTCCCTCCAAGGTTCAGGCGTTTGGGGAGAGGATTGTGCTTTTCATCCTCAACGTCGTCATTTTTGGGAGATCGGAGAGAAGCTTGGATGATGACGCCATGTTTTTTTTGCCTCACTCCGCGAAGGAGCGAGCTAAGATTCTGTGGAGAAATGGAGCAGCCGTTGGGTTTTACACAACCAAAAGGAAAGGTGAGGGTGCGGCGCCTGGCCATTCCAGGCCCTTGGGGACGGGGCGGAGTGGAGCGGGGGCGCCCTCAGCTCAGGAGAATCTTCTGGAACAGGGCCCGTAGCCGTGTGAGTGCGCCCGGCGTGGCCGTCATCTCCAGGCCGTGCGCAGGCAGCGTGGTGGCCGTCCTTTTGTGTGCACTGTGTCCTTCCGTTCATTTGCCTTCGCGCTGACCAGCCGGCCGCTGCCGCCAGCCGTGGCGCGGAGCCGAGCCACGCCGGCCGCCGGGGTCGCAGGCCCTGACCCAGGACGGGCAGCCCGGGTAGCGTGCGCGACCGCGGCCGCCGGGGGTGTGGACCGCCTCCCGTGTTTGCCGAAGGGATGAGTCTCCTCTTTAAAGTCGTTTTCTTGACTTCTAAAGGCTGCCACCAGCTCCGACCCCGCTGGTCCGAGCCCCATCCTTTGGTCTGTATAAAGTTCTCCAATTTTAGCAAAACAAACAAACAAAAAACAAAGAAACCCAAAACTAAAACCAACCAGCCAAACAAAAAAACCAATTTCCGCACATAAACCACCATGCCCGTGCCGTCTGCGTTAAGTGTCAGCTAAGAGCAGAGCTTGGCTTTGAGCCTTGCCCACGTCGTGTTCAGGGTAGGACAGATCTGCATTTCTTGTTTTTCTCAGTGTGATATGACCAGCTTCCCGTGCAGACAGCTGTGCGTGAGTTCATTACATCCTGGGGCTTTGGCCCTCTGTCTCTGGTTCCTTGGGTCAGGATAGTCATTTCCCCTGTCATTTTCCTGTGCCATTTCGCTTTTTTGGATGATGATGTACTTCAGTCATTAATTCTGTAAGGAAGGGAACTCGCTCTAATTTCTTCTCCCTGGGAGACTCATGGTTGTCATTTTTTTTTTTTTTTTAAATCAAATGGCCAGTCTCTGGTCTGCAGCAGGATTGGTTGTGACGGAGACATTCTGCTCGAAGGACAAAGGCTGTGGACAGCTTCCATCTGATGGGTGAGAAGGCCAGTGCAGGGCAGGGAGAGCTTCCCTTGGCTTCTCCCTGCCCTGCCACTGCTCCTGGGGGCAGAGATGCCAGGGACTCCCAGTCCCTGGAGACAGAGCAGAGGTTGCGTGTGACTGCCTTGCCCTCCCCAGGCAGCCCAGAGCCTTGCAGTGGAAGGACCTCAAGACGAGAAGTGGAGGCAGAGGGACTTGGGGTTCGAATTTCTTTCTTCTTTTTTTTTTTTTTTACAGGCAGAGTGGACAGTGAGAGAGAGAGACGGAGAGAAAGGTCTTCCTTTGCCGTTGGTTCACCCTCCAATGGCCGCCGTGGCTGGCATGCTGTGGCCGGCGCACCGCGCTGATCCAATGGCAGGAGCCAGGTACTTCTCCTGGTCTCCCATGGGGTGCAGGGCCCAAGTACCTGGGCCTTCCTCCACTGCACTCCCTGGCCACAGCAGAGAGTTGGCCTGAAAGAGGGGCACCAGGACAGAACCGGTGCCCTGACCGGGACTAGAACCCGGTGTGCCGGTGCTGCAAGGTGGAGGATTAGCCTAGTGAGCCGTGGCGCCGGCCAGAATTTCTGCCTCTGCTTTTCTGACAAATTCAGGGCAGAGTTGTCTGTCGCTGGATACTCGGTCATGGTGTTTTCATCAATGAGCTGTTTTTCATAGGAGTACACTTAAAATAGTATTGACCGAGTGGTTTCATCTATTTGAGAAGCAGAGGATGTGGGGTGGAGTCGGGACCGGGAGGTAGGGAGGTAGAGGGAGATAAAGAGAGAGATCCCGTCTGTTGGCTCACTCCCCAGATATCCCAAATGGCTTGGACCAGGCGAAAGCTGGGAGCCAGAACTCAGTCTGTCTCCCGTGTGGGTGGCCGGGACACTATTGCTGGAACTGTCAGTGCACTCTCTCAGGGTGCACGTTAGCGGGATGCCAGAGTCGGGAGCAAAGCCAGCACTTGTACCGAGGCACTCTGGTGTGGATGTGGGCGTCACAGCAGGCGTTCCAACTGCTATGCTGAATGCCTACCCCTGAACTGGCTTATTAAGGGCCAGTTTTCTTTTTTTAAATAACTATTATTTACTCAGCAACTTAGTTGGTCTAAATAGTGTCAAGTCTGTAGAGAATTAAATAAACCAAATATTTTTTTCAAGTATATGTAGCCACTTAATTTTTTTTCCATGGAATTAACTTATTTTTGGAGACATAAAATATTCTCATGGGATCTCTCTCTTTCTCATACTCTTTCACTCACACACACACACACACCCCTTTACCTGTCAGTGATGTACAAGAGTTCCAGTTGCTCCATAATCTTGCCAGTACTTGGTATTATCTGTCTTTCTAATTTTAGACATTCCACAAAGTGTGAAGTAGTATCTAATTTTGGTTTTGGTTTGCATTTCCCTGCTGAGGAATGATGCTGATAATGTTTTCATGTGCATATTTGATGGTTTTATATGTTACTTCATAAAATGTGTGTTCAACTCTTTTCCCCCATTTTTTATTAGGCTGTTTTCTTGTGATTGTGCTTTGATAATTCTTTGTATTTTTTGTATACCAGATCTTTATCAGATATGTATATATATTTTGAAAACATTTTCATTTTGATAACAATGTTTTCCAAAGACCAGAAGTTTAAAGATTTGAGTAATTAGTATTTTGACATTTTGATACATTAATTGTAATTTATCAATTTTCAGTATGATTTAGTTCAAATATCTTCTAATTTGCAATTTTTATGCATTCTTTAGAAGTAAGTTAATTTCTGGATATAGGAGACTATCTCAGATGTTTTATTTTTTGTTGATTTTTAGTTCTGCAGTAAGAGAATATCATCTGCTACATTTTAGTATCCTGAAGGCTGCTGGGAGTAGTTTTATGACCCAGTGCATGGGCTCTCAGTGGACATTCCACATGGACTTGAATGAATGCGCCCACTTTGTAATGCTGGGAGTCCTACTGTAAAACTGTCAGTCATGGTGATTGATGGAGACATTCAGATGTACCTTTTGGCTGATATTTTGTCTAGTTCTGTCAAATTTAGAGAGAAGTTTACTCATGACTTTACCCATGATTATGGGTTCATCTCATTCTCTCTTTGGTTGTGTCAGTTTTTCCTTTACGTATTTTGAGGCTTTGTTATTAGTTACATCTGTATTTATTCTTATTCTATGTGATGTATGAATATTGATGATTTTATCATTATAAAGTGTTCACGTGGGGAATTGTACTTTGTGCTGACTTCTTTCACCTTTTGTAAATGCTCTGGTGGGTTCTTGTTCAAGGTTGTAACATTCGTGGCGGCTCAGCTAGAGTGAACTCTCAGTGGTGTCACGTCTGTGCTTCTATTACTGGTGCAAGAAACAGGCTCCAAAGGGAAGATACGTCAGATTTTCCAAGTTCTACTCACTGCTGCAAATGCAAGGGATCTTGGATTTCTCTCTCTCTTTGAGTCTTTAAAATGCTCAAGTGCAAAGCCTACTAAGTTCCTTATGTTTCCCTCCATTGAAGAGCTAGCTTGGGTGGGGCCTGTGTTGCTGTGTGCACAGCTGCCACCAACTCCAGAGGCCCAGAAGCTTCTGAGTGCAGTCATGCAGAATGATTCTGGCTCTTGGTGGATCCCCGTGTTTTCTGGTGGGAACCTTCCTTAAAAATGATGGTTTTGGCTCTGGTCAGCAGGTCTCTGTGCAACAAACCAAACCCTGCCTCTGATTGGACTTGCAAATTTTAGCATTTACTCAGGCAAAAACTGGTTACACTGGTTACTGCATGATCTGTTCCCAAAGTTTTGAAACATTCAGTGAAACTTTTGCATGATGAATTTTTTTAAGTTATTGTTTGAGAATAATGTCTTTTTATACCAGGAAGTAGTTATCCTGAATGACATTGACATCTCCTCCTTCTCTTTATTTCTTTAAATCAATATGAGTTAAAGTAACAAAAAAAGGAAGTGTCTCCAGTTATTATTAAATTTATTATTTTTATGTTTGATGTTAGTATAAACATTCATCTTATGCTTATTGTTTATATGAGGTATATTTTTCTACCTTTTACCTTAAAAAAGATTTATTTATTCAAAAGCTGGAGTGACAGGGAAAGAGACTGAGAGAGATCTACCACCCACCCGTTCACTCCCCAAAGGCTGCAACAGCCAGATCTGGGCTAGGCCAAAGCCACAGCCGAGGCTGGTGCTGTGGCATAGCGGGTAAGGCTACCACCTGCAATGCCACATCCCAGATGGGCGCCGATTCAAGTCCCAACTGTTCCACTTCTGATCCAGCTCTCTGCTTTGGCCTGGGAAAGCAGTAGAAGATGGACCAAGTCCTTGGGCCCCTGCACCCACGTGGGAGACCAGGAAGAAGCTCCTGGCTCCTGGCTTCTGATGGGCTCAGCTCTGGCCGTTTCAGCCATTTGGGGAGTAAACCAGCAAATGGAAGATATCTTTCTTTCTCTCTCTGCCTCTGCCTCTCTGTAACTCTACCTTTCAAATAAATAAATAAATCTTTTTAAAAAAATCCAGGAGCCAGGAATTCCATCCAAGTCTCCCATCTGAGTGGCAGGGACCCATCTTTTGCTGCCTTTCCAGGCCCATTAGCAGGAAGCTGGATCAGAAGAGGAGCAGCTGTGGTTCAAACCAGCACTCTAGTATGACCTGCTAGTATGACCTGCTAGTATGACTGCAAACTGCGGCTTAGCCTGTGCCACAACACTGGTCCTCTCACCTTTTACTTTTTTATTTCACTTTCAGTCCACTTACATACTTATTTTTATTGCAATTTTTTGTTTCATTTTTTTTTTATGTGTTTCACAGGCTAAGAGAGGGAGCAAGACAGAGACACAGATGGAGGCAGAGAGTTCCCATTTACTGTTTTACTTCTCAGATGCCTACAGTGCCTCACCTGGGGGCCAGAAATTCTGTCCAGCTCTCCTACATGGGTGGCAGGAACTCAGCGGCTTGCGGCATGATCTGCTGTCTCCCAGGGTATGCACTGTGGGAACCTGGAATTGGGAACA